AAATTTTTAAGAGGTCGCTCAGTTTGTCTCTTCCAGAGAACACAGGCCCTGTCCTAAAGTTTTCGCAGGCTCAGCACTTTGCCCCCGAATCACCAATTGCGCTCCCTAAAGATTTTCACGGGGCAGAGCAAAGCAGCCATAACACAGAAACATCAATGACAAGCAGAATCATCGATAATAATTGCCAGCAGCACGACGAAGCTTCGGTGTCTGCGAAAGATGCTGTGCCATGTGGGACAGACGATGGTTCGGAAGAATTTGACCAGGACACGTGTACCGAATGCCCTAGTGCTTGTTTACCCGAAAATGAAACTACACATGAAGCAACATTACCTCAAGAAACGTCGGCCTTAGATAATGACAAAGTTGCAACAGCACATGACATTCTGATTTCTTGTTATGGAGTAAATGCTGAAAATCTTTCACATGATATCACCCATCCTGATCAGAGATCATTCCCAACACCACCAACACCACCCCCTCCACCACCTATCAAGGAATGGCAACCCAATCCTTTATCAGCAAATCCAGTTCATTCCAGCATTATGGTCGACCTAGACAAACTGTCTGGTATATCAGATTATGATGATATGTTTTCTAGGCTGTCAGTTGAAAGTGGAGTTGAAGGGTGGTATTGCAGTATCTGCTATTGCATGGCATCTAGAAATAAAGAATCTTCAGTGTATTGTGATTCATGCTCAGGATTGTTCTGTTTAGACTGTATGCATATACATCTTAGAACTAGAATCACTGGGGGTTTCATAATTCTCAAATGCCCAGGAGATTCTTGCACACGAACAATAACAGATGAAGAAATAGATCTGCACTGCAGTGAATGGATGCACATTTTTGTTAAAAACAGAGTAGATGCAGATAATAATCCAAGAGTCAAAACTTGCCCAGGCTGCAATATAGTCCAGCATTTTGAGGAGCCAGATGAAGTGCCCATCCATCACAAGTGTGGATCCTGTGGGTTACGATGGTGCATACCTTGTCACGCACCATGGCATAATGCCTTAACCTGCAAGGAATTTCAAAAAGATGTCATTGGCAAAGGACACAAGGCATTAAAGGTTTGGGCAAAGGGGAGAGGAAAATCAAATGCTAATGCTGTGAAATGCCCTCAATGCAAGTTCTTCATTGAACGGATATCTGGATGTGACCACATGTGTTGTTCCAGGTTTGTTTTTGCTCTTTAGAGTAAAATCTCTTCTCAATCCATGATTAAATTTTAAGCTATTGAATCCCAATACAGTTCCTGAAGACAAAAGTAATATGTTTGAAAATTTTTGTTACATAATTTTCAACACCTCTCTCACATCACACTACAACACATCAAGGGACTCTCAGAGAAGTTTAAAAAAAGGTCCAATATGAAGCAACTCTTTTGGTATCAAACATTTCCCTATTACATTAACAGTGGGACAGTTTCAATTTTTGTTTAAGTTATAAAATTGCCATTTGATATATTATTTCTAAACTAGTATTTAATTTGAAATTTTATGATTTAATTTCAAGTTGTAACTTATTTTGCAACACAGCATAAATATCCATAATTGTATTCTGCAATTTCCAATATGTATTTTGTTGATTATTATTTTACTTTTGGTAAAGCTCTGGGAACAGGTTAAAGTTTCTGCCTCATTTTTCTTAAAGTGCCAAGTGAAATTTGTATATTCTTTAGGTAATGATAATTGTGAAGGGTACTTGTGAATGATTTAAACTTTAAATTTCAGTTGATGGTGTTTGTTGATTTCAAGGCAGATTTTGAGTCCTAAACACATCTCCACTAAATACTCAAATTGATGTAATGTTTTTCTTGATAATTATTTCTTTAGCAAGAATAATTTGATATTGACTTTTAGGTGCTACACTGATTTCTGCTACAGATGTGGGAAAAAGCATAGGAAAGGAGGAATTTTTGGTGATCACGATAGCCGCTACAGCTTCTTTGGTTGCAAATACAACTTAGCACCAAAAAAGCCGGTGGTGAGAGTTGCTGTAAGGTCAGGTGTATTAGCTGGTACAATTGTGGCTGTCCCTGTGGTGGCTGCCTTTGTTGTGTCAGTTGGTTGTATAATTCTGGCAGTCAGCCCAGTTGCTGTTCCATCTTTTATTGCTGTTAAGAAATGTAGGAAATAGGAAGTAGATAATGAATATGTTGTATCAATTCATACAGCTTTCATTCCCGGTATACTGGTTTTGTTTTGGTCTTTCCTCTCCAATTAATTGCGCGATGGTTTTTTAGCTGTTGCACTAAAGGAAGAGCTGATGAAAAAGCGCGAATCTTCTTTTTAAAATCAGGGAACTGGCCTGCCAATATAAATTGCTTCAAAAGCAACATTCCACGAAAGTCTGTTAACATCCTCATGTCTCTGTCTCGCTGGCCTACTTTGACAATTTGACTTCTCTGTCAGAAAGATTCGTGCGATAAAAAACTTCCATATTCGATCAGAATATCAAGACTGATGAGCGATACTTCTCTCTTTATATCGATTCCAGATAAAAGTCTGGCCTACTAACAAACATGCCGCTGCTAGGCCCTGTCTGCCATTTCGCTAAGTTCTCGTTGACCCTTTGGACATCTGATGATACTTGCCGCGAATTTACCGAGGCCGAAAATGCCTGTGACGTCAATCCGAAGATCTCCGATAACACGGTTGAAAAACAATTCAACTCAATGACCATTTTACAAACGCTAATAACTACAAAACGGTTAGAGATATGAAAAAAATAATAACAGATTCGTTTTCAGGAGGTCTGATTACATCGTGTTCTGAAATAAAAATTTTGGGCTGGAGTGGCCCTTTAAACACGGCCTTGATAAAAAACCCATCATTACATAAACAATGTAAATAATAGCATTCTAGTTATCATTGGTCTATCCCATTTAACTGTTTTTTTACTAACTAAAGTAAAGTAATTTAGCGTTAACTAACAGTTTTCTTTTGGACAGATTTGTTCATCCGACAGGTCTTTGTAAGGAATGGGAAAATATTCAAGTATCGCTCTAAAAATGCAGCAAAATCTTTGATTTTCAAAATCCCCGATCATCAAAGATCTTGAAAAAGACAATTCTAGCTGAAAAAAACCAACTTTTGCTTTTTTCTCAAAATTTAACCACTGTTGCAACAGATCCATTAAAAAAGCTTTATGCTGCACACACAAAAAACAGTCCTTGGCATGTTTCTCAGGATTCAATACTAACCTATAGCTGTTGAAGTGGGAACTATAAATAGCACGAGGAGCTCCTGAAGAAAATCACGGGAAAATATGACACAATGTGACGTTATGTGCTGACTCAACCAGAAACAAAGAGAGATTTTAAATGTATGACCGTTGCAAAATTGCTGCGTATGCAAAAAGATTGCTGCGCATGCAAAAGGATTGCTGCGCATGCAAAAGGATTGCTGCGTATGCAAAAAGATTGCTGCGCATGCAAAAGGATTGCTGCGCATGCAAAAGGCTGCTGCGTATGCAAAAGGATTGCTGCGCATGCAAAAGGCTGCTGCGTATGCAAAAGGCTGCTGCGTATGCAAAAGGATTGCTGCGTATGCAAAAGGCTGCTGCGTATGCAAAAGGATTGCTGCGTATGCAAAAGGATTGCTGCGCATGCAAAAGGATTGCTGCGTATGCAAAAGGCTGCTGCGTATGCAAAAGGATTGCTGCGTATGCAAAAGGCTGCTGCGTATGCAAAAGGATTGCTGCGTATGCAAAAGGATTGCTGCGCATGCAAAAGGATTGCTGCGTATGCAAAAGGCTGCTGCGTATGCAAAAGGATTGCTGCGTATGCAAAAGGCTGCTGCGTATGCAAAAGGCTGCTGCGTATGCAAAAGGATTGCTGCGCATGCAAAAGGCTGCTGCGTATGCAAAAGGCTGCTGCGTATGCAAAAGGATTGCTGCGTATGCAAAAGGCTGCTGCGTATGCAAAAGGATTGCTGCGTATGCAAAAGAATTGCTGCGCATGCAAAAGGATTGCTGCGCATGCAAAAGGATTGCTGCGTATGCAAAAGGCTGCTGCGTATGCAAAAGGCTGCTGCGTATGCAAAAGGATTGCTGCGTATGCAATAAAGTTTTTTATTAAATACTAATTTTTCCTATCAACGTCTTTGGGTGGAGTATTATATGCAGTAAACACTTCGCATACAGACCTCTAATACCTGTTTCATCATTGTGACCTGGTAACCAAATTTAAAGTTTTTACTGAGATAAAATATGATCGACTAACACAACCAGGGTAGGACTGGAACACGTGACCAGCGACTCAGCATTCCCCCAAACCCTGTTCTAATATCACTTTAACTTGCTTCAAGTTCTCTTCGGATTACCATGGCTACTTGAGCCAAATAATCCAGGCTTAAAAATTGAAGAAAGTTAAGCGGGGGGACGGAGGGGACAACATACGCGCCTCCGCTCAACTCTTCCATTGCCGCAATTTAAGTTTCATTCTTGCATCCGAGATATCATCGGATAGTCTTCGAAAACTGTGCAAATGAAATTTGAAGGTTCTGACTTTATTTGTATTAATATAACGCAATATTACAAGTTTTCACATTACTTTTTTTGGATTATTTCTTGCCCAATGTTCAACTGAAGTACCATTTTTGTCAACTGAGAAACTTGAGGTCCTTTCAGATATCGTTAGCTGAATGTTCCTGCTTCAATCATATTTGATTTGTAGCAATTTGAAATAATACTTTAGTTAGATTTGGTAAAATTTTTGTTGAAGAAACGACTTGGCATGTACATAAATATGCCTGATAGCAAGATAAAGCTCGTTAAGTAAATTTTTTGATAACAAAACAACTTATTCCTTATACTCTTAGTTGCTTTATGACAGATGAATAAGCAAGAAAGAACACATCCGTAGCTTTATCTGTGTTGCTTTCCCTTGGGCTTCATTTAAATTTATACAACAGTCAAAAACTGCACAATCACTTCATGCTAGGGGCCTGGGTCGTAGCAAGCATTGACGTAAGTATCCGTATTGATTATTACGCATGTAATCGTCGGGAAGTGGAGGATGGAGAAAACATGCACGATATCATGTGAAGATGTTGAATTGCTAGACTTTGATGCTTGGAACTTTTATTGAAGATTTGTAAATCAAGTCGAGTTTTGACAAGTTAACATATGGCTTTGCAGTGAGGCTGGTTTCTGACTGCATGCGTGAGCAAAATCTCCTGCAGTGGTCTGTTAAATAAAATTGATCATACCAAAACATCAAAGATTAATTCGTTCGATTGGTTCGAGCAGAGGCTAACCAGCCTGTTTAAAGGAGTCGTAATGACAGACTATGGATTAATGAAGCGGGCATCTTCTTTACCACACCAAAGACGAAAACAGAAAATTTTTAAGAGGTCGCTCAGTTTGTCTCTTCCAGAGAACACAGGCCCTGTCCTAAAGTTTTCGCAGGCTCAGCACTTTGCCCCCGAATCACCAATTGCGCTCCCTAAAGATTTTCACGGGGCAGAGCAAAGCAGCCATAACACAGAAACATCAATGACAAGCAGAATCATCGATAATAATTGCCAGCAGCACGACGAAGCTTCGGTGTCTGCGAAAGATGCTGTGCCATGTGGGACAGACGATGGTTCGGAAGAATTTGATCAGGACACGTGTACCGAATGCCCTAGTGCTTGTTTACCCGAAAATGAAACTACACATGAAGCAACATTACCTCAAGAAACGTCGGTCTTAGATAATGACAAAGTTGCAACAGCACATGACATTCTGATTTCTTGTTATGGAGTAAATGCTGAAAATCTTTCACATGATATCACCCATCCTGATCAGAGATCATTCCCAACACCACCAACACCACCCCCTCCACCACCTATCAAGGAATGGCAACCCAATCCTTTATCAGCAAATCCAGTTCATTCCAGCATTATGGTCGACCTAGACAAACTGTCTGGTATATCAGATTATGATGATATGTTTTCTAGGCTGTCAGTTGAAAGTGGAGTTGAAGGGTGGTATTGCAGTATCTGCTATTGCATGGCATCTAGAAATAAAGAATCTTCAGTGTATTGTGATTCATGCTCAGGATTGTTCTGTTTAGACTGTATGCATATACATCTTAGAACTAGAATCACTGGGGGTTTCATAATTCTCAAATGCCCAGGAGATTCTTGCACACGAACAATAACAGATGAAGAAATAGATCTGCACTGCAGTGAATGGATGCACATTTTTGTTAAAAACAGAGTAGATGCAGATAATAATCCAAGAGTCAAAACTTGCCCAGGCTGCAATATAGTCCAGCATTTTGAGGAGCCAGATGAAGTGCCCATCCATCACAAGTGTGGATCCTGTGGGTTACGATGGTGCATACCTTGTCACGCACCATGGCATAATGCCTTAACCTGCAAGGAATTTCAAAAAGATGTCATTGGCAAAGGACACAAGGCATTAAAGGTTTGGGCAAAGGGGAGAGGAAAATCAAATGCTAATGCTGTGAAATGCCCTCAATGCAAGTTCTTCATTGAACGGATATCTGGATGTGACCACATGTGTTGTTCCAGGTTTGTTTTAGCTCTTTAGATTAAAATCTCTTCTCAATCCATGATTAAATTTTAAGCTATTGAATCCCAATACAGTGCCTGAAGACAAAAGTAATTATGTTTGAAAATTTTTGTTACATAATTTTCAACACGTCTCTCACATCACACTACAACACATCAAGGGACTCTCAGAGAAGTTTCAAAAAAGGTCCAATATGAAGCAACTCTTTTGGTATCAACAATTCCCTATTACATTAACAGTGGGACAGTTTCAATTTTTGTTTAAGTTATAAAATTGCCATTTGATATATTATTTCTAAACTAGTATTTATTTTGAAATTTTATGATTTAATTTCAAGTTGTAACTTATTTTGCAACACAGCATAAATATCCATAATTGTATTCTGCAATTTCCAATATGTATTTTGTTGATTATTATTTTACTTTTACTAAAGCTCTGGAAACAGGTTAAAGTTTCTGCCTCATTTTTCTTAAAGTGCCAAGTGAAATTTGTATATTCTTTAGGTAATGATAATTGTGAAGGGTACTTGTGAATGATTTAAACTTAAAATTTCAGTTGATGGTGTTTGTTGATTTCAAGGCAGATTTTGAGTCCTAAACACATCTCCACTAAATACTCAAATTGATGTAATGTTTTTCTTGATAATTATTTCTTTAGCAAGAATAATTTGATATTGACTTTTAGGTGCTACACTGATTTCTGCTACAGATGTGGGAAAAAGCATAGGAAAGGAGGAATTTTTGGTGATCACTATAGCCGCTACAGCTTCTTTGGTTGCAAATACAACTTAGCACCAAAAAAGCCGGTGGTGAGAGTTGCTGTAAGGTCAGGTGTATTAGCTGGTACAATTGTGGCTGTCCCTGTAGTGGCTGCCTTTGTTGTGTCAGTTGGTTGTATAATTCTGGCAGTCAGCCCAGTTGCTGTTCCATCTTTTATTGCTGTTAAGAAATGTAGGAAGTAGACTGTATGTCTCCCAACTACAATATGCTAGGTTCTTTGTCATAAGGAAATTATTAGTTGATTAGAAACCTTTACACCCAGTAAACATCAGGAAGTCAA